ACCACTACATTCTATATTTACAATATACAGCACTCAACTCACATGTTGATTTTTACGGAGGGAAGAAACTGGAGATCCCGTAGAAAACCCTCATGGCAAGGGAGAGAACAACACAACAAACAAACTCAACTCACTTATGATCCAGTCTGAGCCAGGGCTCGAACCATGACCACAGTGGTGAGAGGCCACCCATGCTACCCTAGTACAATGAAGGCATTCTATACAATTCAGCACTAAGAATACGAGTGCACTTTATCTTATTGAAAGGAAATACTTTGGTCAAATGATGGATGCACTTCCATCCTCGGGCATCACGTGACCTGGTGGARTAGTCACGTGATCATTACAGCAACCAATTCAGCAGCAGGTCGAGGAGAATGATGGAAAACGTGAGACTTGCTTTGCCAACTACAGAACCTGAGATGAAAACCAAGTAAATTTGTAAAAGGGAAATAGTGATAACAGCAGTTGTCAAAATTAACCATGTCRCGTGATTATCGATGACAGACTGATACTGACCTGGAGGTTGGACGTCAAAGATCTGACAGTTACTGATATCTTCGGGGGGTCTGGGAATTGTGATGTTCTTGATGCAGCAATAATACTGGCCGGCGTCTTTAGGTTGTACGTCATAGATGGTCAAGGTGTGATCCTTGAAGCCATCCATGTTAGAAAAAACGTACTTTCCTTTGGATGAGTTATCTGATGATAACGAGAGAAAACAATGCGTTATACTTTTGGTAAAGAAAAACAAAATGTTTAATTTTTCCATCCAAAACCGTAATAGTTGCTATCGAACTACACTTTCTATGGTTCCACAGACGTTTCCGAGAGTTCTTGAAAAAAAGGAATATAAAAATATCTACTTATTCACCCACGCATCCATCCACTAACCCACTGACGCACCATCCATCCCATCCTATCACATCCTATCCATCCATCCATCCATCCACATCCATCCACATCCATCCATCCATCCATCCCATCTAGCCATCTATACACCAACCTACCCACCATCCATCCATCTCATCTATCCATCCATACTCCAACCCAACCCCCATTCCTTATATCCCATCTATCCATCCATTCATCTATTCATACCTTTCGTATCAAAGACCCAGATGTCATCGTTGAGCAGATTTTTTCTTTTCCATTCGGTCACCAGTGGATTTCCCTGAGCAGTGCACACAAGCCGATTCA